TTGGAATTCTGCATTTGCAGTTGCCAAAAAAGATTTTATGAGGGGTGTACAGACGTGATGGGAGTGCAGTAGAGGAACTGAATACAAAAATTTGATTAATGTGAAAACGTAAGCTAATAAATTATCCTGGAATCCATTTATGCCAATTACCTCGTTTAATGACAAGCAATGTCAAGAGTAAGAAATCTTTTTTTCAAGGAAGAGAGAAGGAAGAGCTCTCAAGAACCACCTTTTTAATAATTTATCCAGAGCTCTCAGAAAAGAAGTCCCTGGGCTTTGTTTGTCAATAAAATGAAAGGGAAAACAATTCCACAGATCAAACGGCACTGTGTCCTGATCCGCCAGGCTCAGCGCCGCAAACAGGAAGAGCTGAGGAAATATTAGCATGTGTCCTATTTTCTGAAATGCCTTGTTCCAGATATACTATAACAATTACTAGGTTTTCTGTGCAGTATTCTGTTAATGAATCTCTGTCACACTGACTGCAAAGGGGTCTTAATGGTTGACAGGCTTCAAAAAATGACCAATTGCTGTGTAATATCAGAAAGAAAGTGCATTTCCTCTGCGTTTCCATATTCTGTTTCTTAGGTACACTGAACACCATGTACTGTAGCAGTGTGAACTCATTCAACAACAGGATTTGAAGCTATTGAAATCCATTCATATCCAGGATTACTCCAGGAATAGCCCATTGTTATCTTAACTGATATGCTGTATAGCCGTTTGCATAAGCTAAATCTGACTGCTGTTCGATGTTAAGTTATGGAAACAATTAATTTAGAGGACCAGCTATGTGAAAACTAGATACTAGGGAATACTCAGCATGGATTCAGAAACGAAGGTCTTGCCTAATCATGTTGTTTTCTGATTAGTAGCAACAGTAATGCATATGTCATGCAAACACAGAACACATGATATTGGGTACTTCATTTTTAAGAAAGCTTTTTGATTAAGTCCTTGTACAAGATTCATTCACAATTTACAGACGTGGGCATTCAGGAAAATACGTATGTTTGGATTGCAAATTAGTTAATAAACAGTACAGATAATTGTGTCCTCTTTCAAGAAACAGCTAGATAAGATCCTTAGGTCAATTTGCTACCAAATGGGTTGGATGGGCCACATGCCCTCTTGTTTTGCAACTTCTGTTAATGTGTTACTTTTATACTCCCATTAACTAATGGCTGGTGCACAGGTACTGTATATGTCTGTCGAATGTGCCTCACTCTGCTATACTTTATCTAAGAACATATTCATTTAGTTCAGATTAGCATTACAACCCTGATGCTGTTTTTTGCAGTATATCTTGATGATATACTGGTTAGAAGATGTCAGTCAGAAGCTGAGGTACCTGCTGTGAGCTTGGGCCTCTCTGCGTTTTGGTGGTGAGCTGTGCTTAGTCTTGTTTGTCACGTGTAGGAATCTCTGTCTCTTTCAGCCCAGGGGTTGGCCTCACCTTTGCCTCCTTGTGAAAATCCAGCAGAGCTAGTAAACTAGGGCAGAACACAGCAGGTGAACTGGTCTTTGTGTGCGACTCCTCCAGTTATCTCAATTTTTCTTGCTAGTTGGATGGTGTTATTTCAAGTACAACTAGAAATATATTCATGTTTCTAAGAGCTGAAAAACATCCTTTCTTTTTATGAAACACAGGTGAAGTTTTGTCATTGTTGTTTTTAAGGAGACTCCTACATCACAGCCTGTATCCGAAGTAAATTAAATCTTGAACTCAGTTCCTGGAAATGCTTTGTTTATCGGGAAATACGGGTGTGATTTATGGCCTAACTCGCAAAATATTTACGTGACAGGGATTCCTGAGCATTTTATTTGGCATACAGTCTTGTTAAACAAAATGTAGTTCTCTGACTGACGTCAATGTAGGATGTAGGTCAGTGTGGGTAGAATAGAGTCCATAAATGTGAATCTGGGACAAATCATAAAAATTGAAACAGTTGTTGATGTGGTTAGCATAAATTAAATTTTATTGCTTCTTACATATTTTTACTTTCAATTTTAAATATCAAAGCAAAGGAACAGCTTTCTGTTGTTCTTTTCTTGCAAAAGTAATCAGTATTAGGAATTCTGTGCTCTTCATACCCCATTAATTGCTGACTATATTGTTTTAAAATTCTCTAGATATAGTAATGAGATTTGTTTTTCTCCTCATCATGATAACATTTGAAGAGGCTTTCCATCCCTTTAGCAACAATAAAGAGTTAAAATGTGACATATGAATTGCAGCACACACAAAACCAGGCTGTGGAAACAGAGCGGGTGACCACCGCTGAAAAGCTCAGAGAAAAGAGGCGGTCATGTTTAGAATTCAGAACTTCTCATGATGGCTCGTTAGCAGAGTTTCTGCTTCATCAGCTTTGAGAAACAGGCCGCTTGCCTGCCTTTCTCTCCTACAGTACAAGAACCTGGAACAGTGAGTGCCATTCTCAGAAATGAGGCTGTTGGAGGGCCTGTTCCTGAACAAGTCTCCCTCTTTTTTTGAAGAGCTCTACTCTCACAGTTTTAATAAGTCTGTGCCACAATAGGGTTCCCTAGGTCTAGACTGCCTGTGCCTCTCGGAAGGTGTGGAAATACCGTCTTTCAAATACAGTGGAAGCTCTTGACAGGTGTGGATAGATAGTGAGTCGCACGGTCATGCTTCATTAATTACAGAAATTAAGTTTTTTCTCAATCTGCAGCCAGGCACAGCTGGGACTGAGACACAGGCAGTTTTTAATTAATTAAGAGCAGATATGTGCTGAGGCGGGGGTCTGAGCCTGTCAGATTAACACATCTGAAGGGCCTTTTCACTAATCTGCCTGCAGAACATGGTCAGTCAAGGACGTCTCTTCATGGCTGGGGATTGTAAGTCACCCATGGGGCTCTGTGTCTCTCTCTCTCGTGGTGCAGTATGGGAGGAAGCTTTGAGGAAGCCCCAGGCTGCAGTGATCGGTTGAGCTGTCGAACACTCTGAAACCTCCAGATCTTTAACATGGCTGGGATCAAATCCAGCTCAGGTTGTATCTGAAAGTTTTCTTTTTGGTTGCGCTGTCTTAATCCCATCTGGGTATTGATACACATCAACGTGAATTAAGCACTTTCAGGCACCCATATGATCAGTCTCAGCCAGCAGAGTAGAACAGGTGGGACTGAGGTCACTTAAAACTTTTAGAAGTAAGTTAAACTTACTCAGTCTTGACTGTTCTGTCTTCTAAAAATATATGAACATATGTAAAGGAAGTGTGATTCTGTTTTTTACAGAGAACACTTTTCTAGGTGTTCAGTATAGTGTGTTACAGTGAGCGAGTTCTTCAGTAGCCTTTAAATAATGTACCTTTCCCAGGATAATTAGGGTGAAAAATCAGAAACAGATATGATGTAGTCAAATTTCTATTAGCTTAGTTTGGCCTTGATTTGTCTCTGATTACCAGGCATTAAATGATCTGCACTACCAGATCTTCATCAGATGACATGCAATTCCCTTTCTGACTCATGTTAGCAATTCTGATGTTTAAAAAAAGTGGCGGAACCTGCACATTTCTGATTGTTACCTTTATTACTACTTCGGATGTAGAGTTTTTATATGAATACAGTATTTAACTTCATCATTTTTTTCTAAAACAGCTTGAATGTGCTCTGTAAGGATAAGCTGAACACAGTATTTGAAGCAGGCCAGCTCTTGCCTTATTCCTTGTTGCCAGCTTGGCCTTTCTGGCCACAAGGTTCTGCACTATTCTTACAGCTGGACTCAACTGTGTTCAGGGTTTGAGTGACGAATTCATGCTCGTGTGCAGGGAGTTTGTGACCCAGACAAAGCAAGCCTGCCAGACAATGTCAGTTCTTTAGTCTGTCACACAGAGTAGGTAGAGATAATGATTGTGGTCTCCAGCCGTTATTAGCTGTGGAAATAGACAAGAGTAATCTCTTGTTAGCACTTTTTTCTGCTCACAGGAATATCTGTCTAACAATTTCAAACATTGCTACAGCAGTGTGACAGATACCGGAAGGAGCCATGTCCGAAGAATGCTTTTAAAGGCCCTGGAAACCTTAAAAACCTCTTCAAATAAGGGTCAAGTTGAATACAGTATGTGAATGCAGTTGTGTCATTGAAAATATACTGTCAATATAGAGTGAAAGAACATAGTTTTTAAATGTAATAATTCAGGCATTGAGATTTGCATTTATGCAGTTGAGCATTTTATTGAAGCAATCTCAGTGAAGTACTTTGCTCAAAAGTACAGCAGCAGTGCTCTCAATTGGGATTTGACCCCATAGCTCTTAGTTAAGTAGTTCAAAGTCCAAACCACTACTCTCACATCACCATCTCCAGTAACATTAATGTGTGCATTGCATAGCTATAAAATGTCATAAACTCTCTTTGATTTAGTGTCAGATATCAAATATAGGTTAAGCTTACAGCCTTGTGTTTTCTGATCTGAACAGACATGTTGACAATGTCTAGATTTTGTTCCTGTCTGTGCGGTCCACCCCTCTGCGCTATTGTACATTTGTAATAAAGTGGGCACTTTCATGCCTGTTTTTCATACTTACAAATAGATTTTTGCCACAATGAAGGCAGGTTCCTCCGTAGCCGAAAGGAAAACACCATCCTCATACTGTGACCTCCCAGATCATCAGTGTGTCTGTGATCTTGGAATATTTACACAATTTATTCTGTGTAAATATGATTATTTGTACTTCATCCTGTATAATTATTACTTTGTGAACTACTGTACTATAGATAGTGGAATTATCATGAATGAGTTAGTGTTCTTATGTTGACAATTTAGGGCTTTGTTATGGTAAAAACTAAGTAGTGCTGGGTGATTTTCTAAATCTCTGATATGAAATGCAGGGTTCTCTTGTAAAGTTGTTTGGGATTCATTTTAAGATTACACATTTTCCACGTAAGCATGGTTTTCGAGGAGCGAATCGCACGTGTAAATCGAGGGATGGATGTATTGTGAAGTGGTGTAGGCTCGTGACCCTGCCGTGTCTTTTCTCCACAGTTGTAAGAACAAGCTGTACCCAGATGACCTTCCTCGCACGAGTGTGGTGATCGTGTTTCACAACGAGGCCTGGAGCACCCTGCTGCGCACCGTCCGCAGCGTCATCAACCGCTCACCTCGCCACCTCCTGGAGGAAGTGGTGCTCGTGGACGATGCCAGTGAGAGAGGTGAGCTTGTGCTCTCTGGCACCCCATGAAAGTCAAAGGCGTGGTTAGTGTACTGCGAGACCCAGGTCTGCAGGGTTATATACTGTAGTCTAGGGCTTCCCTGTCTAATGCTTTTAATTACATTGGGCTAATACAAAAACAAATTAAAGTCAGTTTTTTAAAAAACATTCAATCAATCAATAAAAAATACTGTGAGAAAAGGTTTAGGTGCAGCCATGTGGCAGTAGCATAGGAGAGTTTCTAAGCAGACAGTACTCAATACCAAAGTATGAGTGAATCCCCAACTAAACAAATTTCATTGTCTTGGTTTCAGGGCTACAACCATTACAACATGTAAAATGTTATTAAAAACCTCACAGGAATAAAAAAATCTGTATATGGGAAGTACGAGAACTGGTTGGAGCAAATATGTATTCTTGGACAAAGGTGAAGGATTTACAGTTTTTCTTTTATACAGTATCATACAACCAAGCCTACTTTCAGATATTTTAAACTCAGATTTTAGAAGAGAGATGGGCTGTAATTTAGGGTGAGCTTTACAATTTAGGCTGTCATAGAGGGCCCTGTTAAAAGATCTCTTATAGAAAAGCTGTTCAGCTTTGAGGTGACTCATTTTTTTATTTACTTACTGAAAGTATTCTTAATGTTTTGAAAAATTTGAAAAGATGCTAAAGAACGTTAAAATAGATACCATTTAGCTTTTGACTTCTTGAGCTTTTGAAGGTTTATGACTACATCTTGAAAGAATATAGGACACTCTCTTGGTCCTCTGTGGGTGAAAATGTAACAACACACCGAAAGACCTGTTCCCAGCATCTTTTTTTCCTGTATTGAAATCCAACTAAATTATTCAGCCAGTGAAATTGTTCCTAACACCACTGTGATCAGTCGCTGCAGTGAATTGTGAAAACAAGAGAGACTCCTGGTGAGCACTGTCACTCCTTGCACAGTGAAATGATAGGTTTTGCTGCTGAAAGATTAAATGACTTAAAATGCCTCTTGTAAGAATTACACCTAATAATTATCTTGCCTGTTAGTGACAGGGAGTCTTCCCTTCTCCTCAGAGCCAGAGGATACAATCATTTTGTCTGAAAACTTGATTTGGATCTGTTACAGATAAATATATATTGTACATTTGAAACATGATCATCCATTCATTAATAATATCTTGTTAACTTATTTCTATTTTTTCATCTTCAAAGTTTATGTACTTATCCATCCTAGCAAGAGATTGCCAAGATGTTACTTCTTTAAAAAAAAGGCTGCTATACTTCAAACAATTCTATTATAGGGTGGTCCTACTATGATAAATCAATGTGCATTGCACCTCTGTATAAAATAAGACTGTGCTGTTTTTGAGGATTTCATCACTGAAATGAACTGTACTGGCAGACTTGTGCTCCCTGTAGACCTCTGTCATCAGGAAGCTGTGGCAGCACAGGATTCTGTTAAAAAAGTAGAGACCTGGCTACTATGTACTACATGCTATGTACTGCTGAAAGCTGCAAGGGAGCCTTTTTGCACAGAACACTAATCCCTTATTTTTGTGCATATTGCCTAGGAACAAAATCATAATTTTTTTTGTTGAATGCCTTAAACACAGTGTTGTGAATGTATTTTTTTTTGTTTAGCCATGTGCGAGGTGAAAAGATCGCACTGGGCCTGAGTGTTCTCTCAGCAGGTCCACTGGTTTTACTTCTCAGGGACTTAAAAAGCACTTTGCTCAGCTGATGAAGACTCTGGCTCCGAGTGCAGATTGAGCTCTGTGATCCAGGGCACGAGTGCCGTGGCACTCTCGGGTTTTCAATTAGCTCAGTGCCGTCGGGAGCAGAGCTGGTATTATTATTGTTATAGTCTTGATATTGGTTCTACTCTTGGCAAAACAGGGAGTCGTGGTAGCTCAGATCGCAAAGGGCGTCTAGCTCCTGACCGGAAGGTCCCGCGTTCAATCCCAGATTGAGGCAAGTGATGTAGCTCTAATTCCTTCCAGACGGCTCCCAGGTCCACTCAGCCTGCTTTCCAAATGAGTACTGGGTGTTAATCCTTCCAGGGGTAATAGGCCGGCCGGAGCGTGATGCTGACCACATCACCTCTAGCTCTAGTGTGAGATGGTCGAGGAAAATGGTTGCCCTTGTCCCCCATTGCCCATGGGTCTTTATGGCCTTAAAAGGGGACTGACCTACCTAGTCTTGGCAAAACAGATAAGCCAGCAGTTTTGTGGTACTCCCAGGTTGTGGTAGTCTCAATGAAAGATGCACCTCTCCTCCAGTTGGCGCCGAGCCCCTGGAAGTTGCTGCTGACCTTTCTTGTCGCTAAATGGGTAGATGGGTCAGTGGCGTCTTGCCTGCTCTTCCTCATGCTCCCCACATGCGTAAAAAAATCGATGCCAAGAGCTGAGACACAGACACACAATTGGCGATTCCAAACTCGGTGGGCATACGATTAAAAAGCTTGCCAAAACCTGAATGAAGGGAGCCAACCAACAGAACCCTTACTGACCTTTTCCCCCTTGTTACTTATGTTTTTAATAAAAAAAATATAAACCATATATATCCTTGCTTGTGACATTTATAAAATAGGTAAAGTATTTCCTTGATCTTGTCTGAAATTGTGGAGGGATAGCTGCTTTCTCTTTATTTTGGATGTCATTTTCTCCTAAAAATGAGTTTTCAACTTACTACTCCTCAGTGTGAAGGTGGGGATGGGTAATTTCTGTCACAAGTGTCCCTGTCCAGCTCATTTCCGGTACAGTTGTTGCACATAGTCTTATGTGTACTTCAGGAAGTCCTTCTCTTAACAGTACTGGACCAGAGTGGAAGTTCGGGATTCCTGTTCATCTTTGAGGAATGATTAGACAGTTTTGCACTGTACAGGGTGTTTTTTCATCGGGTGATCCTGTCATATGACAGCTCTGGCCAGTGCTCAATGAACTTTACCCTTGGTGACCCGTGTCTCCAAAATTAACTGTTGCGGTTACAAAATGAAGCATTCTTCACGTAGATTTCAAGGACTGCATATGTGAGCAAATCTAACACGCATTTAAAAAAAATATTTCATGGTTGAGAACAAGTTAAGCTCCATACTGTACCTTAGAAGAGGTTAAAATCGAAGACCATAATTCTGTTTGTGCTGAAAACATTCCGTATCATTTGGTGCTTGGGGACACAAAGAACCTTTGCAATAATTTTGTTATTGTGTTGTCGGCTTCTAGTGTAAACACACACAGATGTTTAAGCTGATTGAAGGAGCAAAAAGCTCAAGCAAGTGAATAGGGATTTAACACAAAGTACACGATTGAACTAAATGCAGTTTGGGTTCAGAAGTTAAAAGCCTTTCAGCTGTGGTGCAGTTAATTGAGAGAATGACAGAAGGGGGTATTTTTTTTGTAACTATTTTGTTATTTTTCTAATAATGTTTTGGCTGATTGCTCGAAACTGGATGTCTCCCAGCTGGTGTCCACTGGAGCTTTCTGGTATCTGAAGAATGCACTTCTTGGCCATCAGCGCCGAAGTGTTCCCAGCAGACGCAGGAGAGAAGTCAAGGGCACACCATGCAGATTGGTGGGCACAGATAGTGTTTCATATCAGCTTCATATCTGAAGTACTTATTTGCTTTTTGGAGGGTAAATATTGAAAATGCTGAAACATTAACCTCCCTGTACCTCATTAGCAGTGGAGCCAAAAAAGTCTGCCCCCGCTCTCTTTCTGTGTTAGATAGGTCACTTGTTATGGTTTTTATTACGGATTGATTTGGCGTCGTGCCAGTCTGCTCATTTCACGTGAGCCCCATCCGCAATCTGATTGGACTTGAAAGCTGAAGAGCAGAATGTCTGAGCCTTTCTCTGGCTCTCTCCCTCAGAGGAGAGTGCTTCCTGATAGATATATAATGATCATTTAAAGTTATAGAACATGAGTCTTGTTACATTATGTGGCATAATAAATATTACGGCCCTGCTGGGTTGCTCTCTCGTGATGTATAGTGAGATGAGGCAATATGTTGGTCTTGACATTCAGAGACTATTTAAATTAAGTCAGCAGATCATGTAATCATAGCAGCTATAAATCACATTTATTCATGGTGCACAATAAATGGCCAACTGTCCTTTTTAAATATAAATGCAGCTAATATTTTAGGAAATACAGGGCATTGAATTAAAATGATACATACAATATTTATTATTTTGATTATGTTAATTTGCAGTCATCTGTGTAGTTATTATGTTTTTTTGTATTGGACATGCTGATAGAGTTTGTGATTTCTGAATTTATGTACCATTGCTACTGTAGGATTTTTTTTATAAACAAAGGGACAGACTGGCATAGAATGTCAGCAATATGATCTTTTAAGTGAAGCATTGGATGCGTAACTTTAATCCACGTTTTTGAATTAAAAAAGATAATTTGCTGGCAGAAATACAGTAACTCGTGATCACTAGTGAGTTGAGTGTTGAGTAAGGGCAGTTGCTGTTTGCAGGACAGATGCAGTAGGAACATAACCGACATCGTGCTTGTCAGCCATTCTATTGGGAGCAATGTGTGTAAATTCATGTTAATTACTTCCTGTAGAATGTCCTTGTGAATGGCACCTTGCCTCATCATTGACGTCCTGTTGCTAAGGCAGCTTCAAGCAAATGAAAACGAAGACGATTCTTCCCACACATCTTCAGAGTTTATAGCTACAAGTCTGCTTGTACGGTAATTTGTGTTTTAGGGCAGCATCTTGTTTGCTAGTTAACTTATGTGTGCATTTACTGATGGGTAACATTCCCCTTTAAAGGTGAATTTAGTGTTCAAGTGTAGGAGTTTGTGTGTGCTTACTTAGACAATTGCACTGTATTAGACATGGGTCTGTTGTTCAACTTCAGAGAGTTTATAGGGATTTTACTGATGTGTGAAGTGCATATAGACATCAAACAATTAAGCAAATCAAGTGATATGTGCCCTTCATGTTAGGAGGCTGAACTGTAGTTGATGTCTCTGAGCCTGAGTCCTTCTGCCTGT